AGTGACTCCGTTGGCCCTTGCTGACCTCACTGGGTGAGTGTGAGAAGTGTGAAACGGGCTCTGGGAGCTTTGGCTTTCGTGAATCACAAAAGCAGAAAACATGGTGCCATTACATTTTCATGAACTTCTCAAACTAAAAATGATCAGTTTTGCTCTAGAAAATGGGGAGAAAGGAATGCTTTCCAACATAGTTATGTCAGGAAAGTTGCCTTTTACTCTAAAAAAACGACTTCTTAGCTTGAAAATAACCTTTTCTTCTCCATTGATTTGGGCTTTTCATGGACATTGCTCACTGCCATGAAGATGTTATTATCTGTGTGGTGACAGGGAAGTCCAAATAAAGGTGGTGACAATGCCTCTGAGATTGTGGCGTAACCACTGGGATCTTTGTTGAAAACAAAATTGTTACTTAGGCTGGGGGTTTATTATGTATGAATGTTAGAGATTCCAGATCTGAGCTGGACATATCCAGAAAACAAGTTTATTCTTGCAAAAAGTATCTGAAAATAAATTCCATTATGGGCTTTAAATGCTGGATTGTGGCGAAGATTCATAACAGATTTATAAGAGAGACATTATGTCCTCTGATGTACCCAGTAGCGGGAGAATCGTGTTTGCATTTTCAGTTCCCATGAGTTTCCTGTCTGCAGAGGTCAAAATGTTAATCCTTAAAGCCTCCTCGGGAGTGAGTGTGCCTATGGTAGAATGTGGACTAGACCATGAGTGCCCGTTACAAGTGTCCTCCATTGGCAGCAAGTTGGGCCACTGTGAGTGTGGACGTTTCCCGGGCTCTAGCTCACCAGCGGTCATGCCCCCACGTTGATGACAAAAGTCACGTCAGCAGCTGCTCCTCGTTGAATGCCTGTTATCCCGCCTCATTAAATGCATCCTCTCTAATCCTGCAGGGCAAGGATTATTATCTTCATGTTACAGAGAAGAAAACTGAGGCAGGTGACTTTTCCAGGGACAGTGTGTGAGCCCAACTTCTCTGATTCCAAACCCAGTTTCCAACGACTGAACCATATAACCACCATGCCAACCTGACACTAAGCATGTTAATTCCTCCATCAACAGTTAATTATTGAAGACCTCCTGTTGAAATGATCACCGAGCATACAGCAAGGAAACCAACGGTCAATGATCCCTTCCCTCATGGTATTTACATTCTTTGGAAGGAGATGGGTCATTAGTAAGTACCTACAGTGTCATATGGAGACCAGACAAGGAAGAGGAACAAAGTGCTGGGTAAGTGGTTGATGGAAGGCCTGCCTGAGAAAATGGCGTTTGAACGAAGACCCACACGGGTGAGGCTGAGAACTATGGTGTCAGCTGGAGGAAAACCGTGGTGTCACCTGGAGGAAAAGAACCATGGAGTCAGCTGGAGGAAAAAGTTGGAGGAAAAGCAGGGAAACAGCACCAAACCTTGAGATGAAAGCAGGAGCATCTGAGGAACAGCAAGGAGGCTGTTCCTGGCTGGGGTAGGATGTGGAAGGTGGAAAGCAACGGGACATGAAGTCGGGGAGGGAAGGGCGGAGGAAGGGATGGATTGTGTGAGCCTCCCAGCCCATCAGTAAGGATGTTGGCTCTTAGTCTGAGATGAGAGCCTACATGAAAGTTTTGAGCACGGGTGGCATGATCCGACTTAACATCTTAGAGGACCATTTGACTGTAGCAGCTACGTGGAGAATAAACTAGGAGGGCAAAAATAGAAAACAGGAAAGTCGATGAGGACTTTCCTCACCACTGCAAGAGTCCAGGAGAGATAATTGACTTGGACAAGGCTAGTAACCGTGAATATAGAAAGGATCCGATCAGATGTATTTTGAAGGTCAAGCTGGGAGGATTTGCTAGCCGGCCAACTCGCTGGTGGGTCACAATTTTTGACCTGAGCAGCTGGAATTATGCATTTGCCGTTTACTGGGGTAGAGAGGTCTAAGGGGAGGAGCGGTTTGGGGAGGGAAATTGTTTGGGGACATGTTAAATTTGATTTGGGGTGTTTTTTGTTTTTTTGTTTTTTTGTTTTGAGTTGGAGTCTCACTCTGTCACCCAGATCGGAGTGCAGTGGCCGCTCCCGGCCAC